GACTTGCCACGGTCTCCAACCCTCCTCCTTTCTCATCCGGGCTTGGGACCGGCCATGGCGGAGTTACCAACTCATGCATATTTTTCATTTTTCAGTTTTCTCATGCTGTTCATGTTGTACTGTTCTGTTTAAACATCGTAAGTTGTTCTTACGCCAAACTATGTCTAATGGCGAATTATTCCTACAAAGCCAGATTTCACGCGATATTTCACCTCTTGCCCTAGTTGCCTAAATTAGATATTTACGCAGACCAGAGCTCCATGACATTTGGCTTAACATCAACTATTAGTCGAATCAAACGGCATCAACTAACTGTTTAACTATTCCGTAGGTTTGATTTTGTGACAGACCACCTGGTGGAGTTCACACAGCTTGCAATCGAAAAAGCCGATGGATGCGAGCACATGTTGAACCGGGTGATGCCCAGAGATAATATTGGACTGATAGCCGTTCTCCGTCCAAAGGAAACCATTTTCAGTACGTGCTTTGATGTTCGATTTCAGACTTTGGTTACAATGTCGTCTTTTCTTGTCATCCTGTAGACAGTCAAAACTTTGTTGCCTTGGAAAGCATGAATCGGCCGTTGGCGGTTTGTACTGCACACATCCATTGGGACCCAGAGCTGTGTGACGTTAAACTAGTGCAAACGATGATGCTTGTACAGGAGTTGGACAAAGTGCTGAAAAAACTGGAAACTACCTACAACATCCCATACGATCATCTGCCCACCCTCATTTGTGGAGATCTGAATTCACTACCTGAATCCGGTGAGTACTGATTTTGTTAAAACATTATGTTAATTTTAATGGTTTTGTTGAACCAAGCTGAAATCTTAACTGCTTTGAAAACACGATCAAAGACATGAAAGCGGCAATCCAGTGAAAAACATCATGGTAAAATCGACTAAACTGTTGTAGCCCCTAACTATTCAACGCTAGCCATGCAAGGGAACCATATTATCTTTAGCGTTCAGCGAGCTGACATATGGGTGCAGCAATAGTTTCTTTACAGTCACAGAAGCTTGTTGGATGGGGGGAGGGCGATCAGAGGAATATGACCTGACCAACGGCTCTTCCCGATTTAACTTGCTTCTTCATTTAATACTGATTGTGCAGCCGTCATCCGCATAGGTTATCCATTTTGAAAGCGTAATGAAAACCTTCATCTTCCTCTGACAGATTCAAACTTTCTATTTTTTCTCTGTTGATGTCTTAGTCATTATTTATGTCTGTTTAGCGAATGTACAGATCATTGAGACCTTTTGCTTTAGGCGTGTGTGAATTTCTATCCACCGGAATGATCAACTCTCACCATCCGGAATTAAAAGACTTCCGTGGTCAGAGCTGTCTGAAGGGTTTAAGCAGCGGAGGTCCAGTGGACGTCTGCACACATCCCTTGCAGCTGCAGTCGGCTTACGAACCTGTCGATATCCCATTTACGAATTACACGTACTTGTTTTAATTCAAAGCACATTTATGGTGTTTATACGTTTCTTTTAATTTAGCGGTGACTTCAAGGGTGTGATAGACTACGTTTATTTCTCGCCGGCGTCTCTGCTCCGCCTGGGCGTTCTTGGTCCGTTGCAACCCGAGTGGTTTTTGGAAAACAAGATCGTCGGTTGTCCTCATCCAAGCATCCCCTCTGACCGTAAGTCAACTCTGATCACATTTACGTTAGCTGATTTTCTTGAAATTTACGGTTGATCAACGGGTAAATCAGATAGGGAGAAATGCCTAAATTGAAACGCGTGTTTTCCTTATTTTGGTTCATTATACCCAGCTTTCGTGAACAGTAAGATTTTCTTCTCACGGACAGTAAGCCACCAAACTTTGTGTGATTAAGATCATTCACGATGTTGTGATAATTTGGATTGATCTACCAAAACTAATTTTTTTCGCCTTGCCCTAAATAAAGCATGTCATTCGAGTAAATGTGAATGGTAAACGGGGACCTTGTTTTGCCTCTATCACTAAGAGATCTGCAAATGGCCGGTTGTTACTGAGAGTCTGTGCTCCATCGCAAATGGTTTTTCTTCCTGATCTTATATTCGACTAGTTTGCCCGCCTCAGCAAGGTCGTCGCCGGTAAAAATGACTTAGTGATAACTGTGTAATAGTTAAATGAATGATTTTATGACCAACCCCTAAAGCAGTGCTTAAATGGGGTCTGTTAGTTCTGTCTTCGACATCGCAGCACCAACGAAGGAACGACACCGTTGCCGTCAAAGCTTGATGTCTACGGTAGAAACATTGCGGAGTAAAAGGAAAGCCATCTTTTGTGACAGAGTAATGGAAAAGGACTTTCGGTTACTCGCATTGCCAATTTTTCCTCATTTGATACCAACGCGTTGTAACGAATTCAGAGAGAATAGTGGTAATTCAGGCCAGTTTCTGCAATTAGCTGATTTCTACTCCATAGCGATACAAGTATCTATTTCATATACGACAGATAAAACGACCTGGTAATTGGTACATATGCGGATGGCCTAATGCTGTGATCATTAACCATCTGTCTACGAAATTATTTTCTCACTGATTTAAACAGGCACATGCACAGGAAAATGTTGCTGCCGTTTTCGTAAAGCCTTCCAATGTCATTCTCTTCGAATGGTCGCGGTATGATGCTTTATTTCACATTTCATTGTGGGATTAGTGCGATCCTTCTGACACTGGTCTGTTTCGATGTGTATTTTGTTCATCATCGATTTTGGATCTTCTTTCAGGGTCTTTTATCGATCAAATGTAGCTCTGGCAGTATGATGGTCCAATAAACCATTCCGGTATTATGGGTGGACTAGCACAGTGCTAATTTCTTGTACTGCCAAGGTTAATTACAAGTTGATATCAATTTCCGGATTTACACCGCATAGTCATGCTGTCTTTTTGCTCGTTCTTGGTCGCCTAGGCGACCACTGGAAAATATTAACGGTTTCGTGTTGTTTTGGCACCTGCAGTGCATGAATGCAAAGTCGCATCACCTTGCTGAATCAAACAATAATCTCTTTGGGCCTTCTGGAAGTACCATTCCTTATCCAGAGGGTTATCCGCAGTAGGAATCACGCCATGTTTTTTTGATTTACCGGAAAAATACTAGTTGTCGGAAATGCCTGCGCGAATGATCTCGAGTCACTTAGTCATGTAGAAGTGTAGATGAGTATTGTGCGCGTCAGGCTGCTATAGGAACCGTTCTTTTGAATGTCTTTCCACTAGTTTGCAAGAGTCATGCGTATCGCCGTATTTCGAGCACTTTATTAATCTTGTCTTCCCTGTTCTTGATGCTTTCTTCCTTCATACCTATAAGTGAATGTGAAAAACAAAAATGGAAAGGGGTTTACTTGTCTCAGAGACGACTGACTGAGATCGCTTAGTCCGTATTACTGGTGTTATTCAGTCGGTAGTGCTTCGGACTCACAGCTGACAGCTCCAGGATTCGATCTGTAGTCAGGTCCTTCACCTTTCTTGCAACCAAAGTTGATAATTGAGTACCATTCTGTGGGATAGAAAAAGAGGCTATAGACAATGCTTTTCACTTCGCTGCTATTGCTCTGCCTTGAAAATAAGACGCTCCTGATTGATAGCATGGAAAGAAAGCTCAGCGCCCTACCATTAAGTTTATGAAAAGAAGTGTGACGTAAATGGCTCCATCATGAAAGTTCATCATTCCAGATTTTAAAAGCATGTTTCTTTCCGAATTGTATCAGTTGTTAGGTATTTCTATTGCTAGGAAATCGTGTCGTACGGTTTTAGATTGTACATTCGTCCGTTCGTGTTGTGGCCGTCTTCTTTCGAAGTTATAAGAAAACGGTGGCATTCAGCACCTCAGTTTTTCAAGCAAGGCCATTCAGCTTTGTAGTTAATATTCGGAAAGTTAATTTTTAGCAGTACATTGCATTGATTTTGGTGCGTGTTTCCGGGTAAAGTTCCGTTTGCAGCCTATTTTGCGACAATCGGCATAGCATTCCGAGCCTAACGTTCAAATTTCGTAATCAGTTAGGGTATAAACTTTTTTGACTTCACTGAGGAAGGGATAATACTTTGCCAACACTTGAAATAACCTGATTCGGAAATCGGGTGATGCCGCGACTTTCCTCAGTTTTGATATAATCTCCTCAGTGGTTCACCACACGGTTCGAACATGGTTTCTTGTAAAACCTTCTGTAGATTAAACACGTGCTGCAGGTGCACGAAATTAAATTAATTCCGTGCTTTACTTAAATGTGTAATTCGTTTGAGACTGAGGTCTGCACTTTATCTTGATTGTCACTGTCCAGGATTAAATGATTATTGCTGGATGATTATATCAGTGCTTTCAAGTGACGAACCTCATTGTGTCATTGACTAAAGAGTTAGTTCAGAATCAGTACAGTACTGACTGAAGCGATCCTCTGAGTAGCTACAAATTTGAAAACCCGCTATGACGAAATATGACAGATCGAAACGACATGTAATGTGTTAATCTAAAAACCTTGTTGAAATCGTGTTTTGTTGTGTTTGGAAGATACCACACCAACGTTTTCATTCTCTCTCATATTCAGAGCCCACTCTGTAGAAGGGAACGTCGTATATCATGTTTTCTTTGTAAGATCATTTTTGTCGTTTCAGATATCCCGTTGTTAGTGGAATACGCGATTCTGCCGCCCCAGATTCCGGACCACTCCCCTGCTCCCGCATCTCGAACGCAGCAGCAACATTATCAAAGTCGATTGTCGCACACCAGTTCCAACCATGGCTGCATGTTCGAGCGTTGACCGTCTGCTGCAGTTGCGTTCGGTACTTGTCCACTTGCTCGTCCGTTAAGACCGTCCTCCGCGCATTCTGTGATAGAAGACGTTTGTTCGGACACAACGAAAGCTGCTTCGTTTCTTTTTTCCGCGGAAAATTTTCTGACGGCGCTGCGAACTTTTTTCGCCATGTGTTTTACAACAGTGGTCTTTGTATCAATAATATTTGCGTTGTTTTCTCGTTCTCAGTTTTTGTCTAACTAGCTCCTTAGTCATGATGGATTGTTAGCAGTAGCCAGCCAAATGGTTCCGCTCATTGGCTTGTTTGTTTTCAGTATAGTCGCGTTCGCGCGACGATCGACCTCGAAAATTCAGCTGACATCAAGTCAGTTTTCGACAAATAAAGTGCACACCCATCATCATCCTCCTCCTACTAAGCCGTTCATCATCTTGTCACGGAGTACAATTTGCGAATGCATTCCTTTGTCAGTTTTGTGAATAATAACTCTAAATATCGGCTAGGCTATACATGCGTGGATCGCTGTTGTTTTAGCCGACTTCGACCTCAGATTATTTGCAATGCGTTTCGAAATATGCGTTTTACATGATATAGTGCTCACGAAAAATGTATGTTTCTGTTCTGATGTTTTTGTCTTGTTATTGTAATCACTACATTTGTAAAAGGTTTTAGTAGTTCGTTTTCATCCCTTGGATGATGATCGTTTCTTGCTATGCGTTTCCCGTTTAGTTATAATCGTTTTGTTTTGGTGTTTTTAGTTGTTTGGCTTGCCGCTTGTGCTCTGTTATGATCTTAACGTGGTTCATTATTTGTAAACGTATATAAAGGGAGTCATGAATTTTGTTTGTTTTCGAACCTTGTATTAAGTAACTCTCAGTTTATCGACCGGTGGCGCTGTCGGAAGTATGGCATTACGTGCTTAAACGAGTTAAGATAAAGTATTAGTAAAATGTTTCTCAGTAACCGTGGATGCATACTTTGATCAAAACGATCTACCGGCAAATCTGTGGTAATCCTTTTTCTTACGTTTAATGGAGCACCAGTCGCGACTCGCTGTCACATGTTTCAGACGATATTGTTGATATATCGTGGATAAGCGACCCTTGTTTTGTAAAAGTCACAAAAATATTGCACCGACTTTAATTCCTGGTAGTTTATCGTGTGGAAGAAAAAAATCAGGTTTTTTCTATCCAAAAAGCGGATCGTGCATGATCATAATCGTTGGAGTTATTTAGCATAAGAAACTGAAGGATTCTGCCGTTTCGCAAACGAATACCTTTGCAATGTAAATATAAATTATGTATGAATGAAGGTATCGATTTGTTACTTCTTTGAATAGCCGTTAATTGTGTTCGCCTCGATCAACGATTCAAGATTAGAATTAAAAAGCATTCCTTTGACCCATCGGCAATATAAGTAAATAGCAAATTATACGGCTGTACGAACGTAACAATCAGATGAGTCAGTCGAAACTGAACGTAACCGCTATAGTCAGATATTCGATACGTTTATATTTTAAAGAAAGATGGGCTGCATTGTTTTCTTCTTGATTCTGACCAGGTATGATTCTAAATATTGAAGGTTCTGTATGTATTATAAACATGTCTTGTAATGTGGTCTCGTAAGGCGTTCGTAATTTTTAATTGGATTGCTTTTATACGGTATTTAACTTCTGTTCTCAAAGAACTTAATTTTGTATTTTTTTAAAGCAAAATCGTTCAGTGATCGTACACAAGTATTCGTATCTCGTGCGGATTATGTAGGTTAGTGTAAAATAGTATGTTGCATTTCCCGCCGGATCGTTTCGAAAATCTGCTTAGATCGACAGGTTCTGTACCAATGCTGCCACGGTCGGATTTTTTCCTCTTCGTTTAATGGTCCATAAATGAGTACCACTCTGTTGATGAGAGACAGCAGACCACACTATGTTTAAACATAGCTGTTCTTTAATCTACTTTTAAAATG